TATATACCCATACTGATATGTATTCATAATGATGTATATCAATACTAACAAGATATCCATAAGCGAACACTGCCGAGTGCAGGTCACACCTCCATAGAATTGCTAAACAACAATACCCATTGTCAATGGTAAACCTCGGCAGTGCAGGTCACACCTCCATAGAATTGCTAAACAACAATACCCATTGTCAATGGTAAACCTCAACACAAGATTCACAGAGACATGGACAGACCCATGGACAACTCCATGTGTGAATGATTTTCGGACAGCATGTGTACATTACACAAAATAGTACATACATATACAAATACCTACATACATCTATATGAGTGTGTGTGTTTGTACGCATACTTATATGGCTACGAGAGAACACAGATCTGATACAAGGGAGTTTCTAAAGCAACTCCACAAAAGTGATTGCAAGAACGGGGTAGCCTCGGCTATGTTAGATTACAATCAAGACCACTACTGAAACATGGAATGACACCAACAAAACACCATAGCATTCGTCTAACAAAGCCAACTATTAGTGCTAGTTTTCAACAAAGCCAACTATTAGTGCTAGTTTTCAACAAATGCAGTTCTTTGGCGTTTTCTCATGCTTTTTTGGTAAGTCCGTTCTTTGGTGATTTTGTCATACATATGCATGCATATACAGCACACAAGGGCCTCAGAGATCTTGGAGGAATGTAGACTTCAAATGGGTGGAAATCCAATCACCATCAAATCAGTGGCACCTAATTTATGTATGTTAAATGCATCAACATCTCAAGAATGAATTAAATTGAAACACTAAGATTGACCAATGCAGCAAACGTGCGAACCATCACAAGCACACACAGAAGGGGGGGGGAGGGGACACACATGAGATACACACACACAGAGAGAGGGCGAGGGGGAGGGAAAAACGTGAGAACCAACAGATAGAGAGAGAAGGGAGAGGACATATGTGAGAACCAACAAATACAGAGGGAGGGAAGGACGGGAGAGAGAGAGAGAGATTCAACTAATGAACTCAAGGAATATGCCAAGAAACCCTTCAGGAAGTTTATAGGGTTTTAATGGGACGACATAGATGAGAGCTTTCCAAACCTAAACCTACAGTTCGCAGAACAATACGACTTGAAGCCAGTGTTCTAGAAATAAAAGACCAGAATTCCAAAACCAGAGTCAAAGACATAGAGTTTGAGCTAGAGGTATAATCCAGGCTTCACAGAGAATGAATGATTAGGGGTTATTCATGTACATGCATATAGACACCTGATACAGATGCAGACAAGGCAAATATTTATGAACATGGTCCTGAACAACAATAGAGAATTCCAAAACCAGAGTCAAAGACATACAGTTTGAGCTAGAGGTATAATCCAGGCTTTGCAGAGAATGAAAGATTAGGGCTTATTCATGGACATGCAGTACATGCATATAGACACCGGATTACAAAAGTAGATAAGGCAAATTTATGAACATGGTCCTGAATAACAATAGGGACATGTGGACTATCATCATGTAATCAAATGAATCTGATGGTAGCAGGACAGTGGAACATACAGACAAATTAGTAATGTTTAGTGAGATCCACTTCCTACATGATCATTCAACCCATAGATGCTGTCGGTGATAACTTCATGGTCACATTGTTATCATGACCATATGGATCAAGTTGTACAGACCATATACAACATAGTTATCTAGACATTGTTACATAGCCAAGACTGTTCCTGACACCTGCAAACCCATGTCCACAAATATGCCTGGCAAAGCCCCCGTTGGTCCTAATGCTCAATGAGGCAACAACATTTGTTCTTGCTTGAAGTATCAAATGTGGTAAACATGCCTACGTGCAAATGTTAACTGTATAGAGCATTGGGATGTCAGCAGATTCTAATTTCCAAACAAATGTAAACTGGCATTTAGACTGAGAAACAAGAATAAATAAAAGAATCCATCAAGTTCAGGGTTTTGTGTTTTCATGTCCTCGTGTTCTGCGAGTTGCTCAAGCCAGTTTTATTCCCAAGATGTGGCAGGAACAAGATCATTTGGTACCCAAACCCGAAAAACAGTGTCTATATTCCCCGTCTGCATGATCTAATTTTTCGGTAAGTTAAGTTTTGTTCCTTAAGAAGCTCATTAACCAAACTAACCAACATGATAAGAAGAAAAATATTCTATAGTACATAGGCCTTTCCATTATTTTCACGCCACTGAAACACTGTCAAAAGGCATTCTCATTTCATAGTCAAACACTCCCTGCATACATTGGAGATTCGTGAGCATTACCATTAAGCATAACCCTGGCCCAAAAGGACCCAAAAGGATTAGGAAAGGCATTTGCCAATTAGCAATTTCATTCCAAATTGCTCCAAGGCCCAATCTCTCAAGTGCTTAACAGACTTGTTGACACAAAGCAGCAAAGAAACCATTCACCATTAGGGCACTCTTCTCAATTATCTTAAGGCCAGAGAAAACGTCAAAGCAGCAAAGACACAACAAAAATTATTTAAATAATATAGGGAGGCATCACATAATGAGTGTGGTTACACAGAGGAATAGCAGGGTCCTTGAGAATGACCAGAATCACTCTCTCTCAATCCTATGGTAGAAATCCTCCACCACATCTAATCCCCATTGAGCTCCAAAAGTTTCAGCAGAGGTTGACATGCAGGAAACATCAAACCTGATCGTCTTATCTTTCCATAGACAGTTGGAAAAGTTCCATTCCACATGATGATTGTCATCTTCAAATTCAATACACATGAGACTCAACAAGTAATCTCTATGCCCACAGTTGTTCTTCATGTGTGATTAAGGCAACATCCAAGATTTAGTGTCCTTTAGGAGGCAGAAGGACATAAACCCTTCACACTGAATTCCGTAGTGAGGCTTTCCCATCTTTTGGCACTAGCAATCTTGTTGAAGAAAGAAAGATTATTCATGAATATCAAATGGTAACTGGGTTCATGAATTATGGTCAACAAGAAGACATCTGAGACTAAATTTTAGTAGCCAATCACTGTTATTGCATGTAGGACACATTATTAAACCACCTTCAACCTATCAAACTGTCTCTTCTACAGAGATACCAGCCTACTCTTCTTCATATCTAGGTCATAGAGCTCCATGAAGGTTTCAACATTCCATGTACCAAACACCCCAAATGTGGTATGGTTTCATTTATTCATCTTCACTTAGTACCTCTAGGTTTCTTCCAAGCTTCCAAGCTCTTATCCCTTCTAAGCCTCTAGATGCAAAGATAGCGATCTTGGCAGCGTAGGATCCTAATGGCAATTGGACCATGTGAACTACACAAACATATGCATGCATGCACATGCATGTGCCACACGACTTTTTTACCCCGCTTCCATGCCCACATGATTACATGGAAAGAGATGTGTTTGCTGGCCTGCATGCAAGTGGGTGCATGCTAGTGTGTGTTCATGTATGCAGGCACATACCTCTAAGTAGATGAGCCACAAGTAATGACCAGTCAATGGCTAAGTCAAAAACCATTCCATGCTTTATGTGATCTCATAAGAGAAGCAGATAATATTGAAATCCCCTTCAATTTACAAAAGGAGCTGCCATGATTTCCAATCCTGATCGAGCTCTTCCAGAGCAGTACCTAGTAGCTGTCATGCATGGTTATCAATGCACACTCAAAGTGATCTTTGATGTTGCAGAACTCCATTAAGATAGCCAAAGACTTCCTCCTTCCAAATTAACTTGAGATGCACCAAAAGAATACACCTAACACCCTTTCTAGATAGCACAACACACTCTGGACTTCTACCAGTCTTAAATGTAACAAGCCTATGAAGGAACTTGAATGAGTTCATCTTTTTGTGGCAGGTCAAGAGCTGCAATCCTTTATGAGATGAGATTCATCAGCTCATGCCCTTCTCCCTGCTTCAACTGAATGTACATATGCTTTGACACAAATTTGAAAGAGAATTAGTGAACAAAGCATTAAAAAATATGCCATATTCATAGACACCCTGGGGCATTTACTCGACATTTCTTTAAGTGCTCTATGTCCTGAATGGTTCATGCTAGTTCTATCTTACTTGATTTCTCAACTTCAACCCAGATGAAAAAAGAATCTAATACATATATATATATATATATATTAGGAATCAAATGCCATTGAGGTTTTCTTCCTGTCTCTTTTCCATGCATTCCTTACGAACCCTGTTTCCCACTATAATTTAAATAATTCTCAAACTAATAGTTACAAATCAGTGGACATCAGAAGTCAAACTACGTATGTGCTTGTTTATCCAATTGTAACTAGTCCAGAAACAAGAAATCCTTAATTTCAAGGGAGCATGAGACAGAACGCGAGGTTGAGAGCACCAAGAGCATTAATTCCTAGATTGGGAGTACTAAACTGAGTCTGGAAATGTGCAAGTAACGACCAGCCATGAAAATCAGTGTACTAAAAGCTTTAAAATGGTGAACAGTCATTTTTCTACTAAAATTGCAAACTAATTTTTATCCTTGCTCCGATAATAATCTCAAGTCTTCTTTTATTCAAAAAATAATAATCTCAAGTTTTCTTAACTTTAAGGAGTTTTGAGGATGCCAAAAACGGGAATCCATATGTTTGGGATTGAATTCCTAGATAAATTACAAGAAAACTATTAGACTTCTAGAAACATCTCCCACGATTTTCAAGAAAGAGGCCAGAGGTTAAAGTTCACAGGAACAAAGATTTAGATTGATGCACAATTTTTGCGATGAAAAAGATTTAAGTAAAGAAGCCATGCAATACCTGGGCAAAAAAGGTTCATAAATTACATTCAAACATCACTCTTAAGGAAGGATGCACCAAATTACAAGGAGGTTAAACTTTTAATGGACAGACTAATATTACAAAAACATTACTTTTTGTGCATGGAATACATGCTCAAATGAATCATATCAAAACCATCCTTTGAAGTAATGTGGTATTGTGTCAGTCATGACATTCAGCAAGTGAAGATTGCTAGTTGGAAAAACAATGGACAAAGACACAAACTGAAGAGAGTCCCAATTTTCAAGATAAAATAGTTACAACTCCACTCTTTTGTTCTTGTCATCACAGTTTCAATGATAGAGAGGCAAATCAATCACAATTTTATGATTTGAGCATCCTATCAAAGGTTACAAGCAACCAAAGTATGAACATACATGTAATCACCCCCCTAAAACCCCTACCCCCCCCCCTCCGTCCACCTTTTCGGGGGGGCCATCAAAAAAAGAAAACAAGAGAGAGAGAGAGGGAAATAAAAAAGCAGATCATCAGAAATTACATCAGGACTCAAACACGAACTAACAACACAGCCTATGAGCATGAGACGCCATTTGAAATCATTGAACTACTCCTACTAAAAAAGAGGTATATGATGGGAACACCAGAGGGGTTAAGTACATATATTCTCATCCTTTGGTTCTCATGATTGTGATGCTGCCTTTGCCTCCTTCAGTATGGATTTTAGTCAAGGCAACCACAGGCTTCCCTGAAAATGCAGAAGTAGGATATGAAGGTGATGCATCATCCTTCATGTGCTTCAACCTTGATTGTCGAGGAGTAAGGATTCTCTGATTTATGTCTTTCAAAGTAACATCACCTTGTACCCCACATGGTTTTATGAGTGCAAATGGATAGGCAACAGGAGTGGCCAGCTTTCTTGGGGTTCGAAGAATCTTTTTTTTACCTAATAGGCCACAGAGACAATAAGTGGGAATTAAATGGCAAAAAAACCCAAGTTTTTATTCAAGCATCCAAAAAACTAAAAAATAAAGTTTCTCTATATAAAGGATGGTACAATAAAGATCCAGTGACAAATGTACCTATAATGACGCGTGGAGCTGGAGGAAGAGGCTCTTGCCATGTATCTGTTTCCATTTCAGGAGGTATTGTGCAGAATTCTAAGAAGCAATTACACATCAGAAGAAATCAGCCAATAAACAGAAAAAACAGGTAAATGTTAGAATTTGTTATAGTACATAAGCTAGATAGAACTCAAGAAAATAACAGATGACAGGATTAACACACCTGAAACATCAATTTCATCCTCAGGGGTTCCATCAATGTTCCTGGTTGGCTCAAACCAGAATAAGCAAAAACACCCCAAAAATTAAAATGATGTAAAGCACTAAAATCAACAAAGAAGCTTAGAATCATACAAGTCATCCACATTGATCTGCATCTCACTATCAGTAAAGCACTTAGTGACCCAGCCCTCTGATGAGCAGTCCATTTTGTCACATCCTGAGTTGCATCTCTCCTCTGCCACCATTGAAACATAATCAGAACACAAAATTTCCCACATAATAAAAAACAGAGGGGCAAAAAGAGGCTTACCTGAGACACTTGAAGCCCAATATGATTCTGCACCCAATTGTTCCATGGTATGCAAATCAACTCCTCTTTCCATGGAAGAATTCTCCCCATCCTGGACATTAATCGAGACTTGCATCTAAACATAAAATTTTGTGACAAAAATGTGCAATAGATAACAAAGGCAAGCAAAGCATATCATACTCGTATTAACTAACCTTTGAATCTACACATGCAGGTGAACTTTGATCAGGGCAGTGTCCTTTCTCTGGAGAATTGAATTGTAGTACACGACGTCGTTTTGACTGGGAAGACTCTCGACATACCTCCATTCCCTTGCTCAAGCTTCCTGGAGCTCCAATTTAAGATAATCACTAAATGCAGTCCTTCAATGAGAGAGAGAGAGAGTAACAGAGATCAGTCACCTTGATTATGATCAGGGCAAACGGGATACTCCATAGAGGTTGACCCTTTGATAGGTGTTGCTTCATCAAACATATACAATGAATCTTCATTGGATGGGTTGAAACCATTCCACAGGCCCGAAGCCATAGGTTCTGTGAATACAAAAAGCCCATTCCAATCAGAGAATAGCCAACCCTTTGAATCAGAGAGAAGAAGACAGAGGAAACATAAAGAAATGTCCTAGGCGAAATAACCTACCAAATGGAGAATCCCCGGCAAGTTGATACCCACCGTCCTCCCATTCCCACTGCTCACTAATAACCAGAAAAAGGGTAGAGATAAGCATTTATCAATCCACAACTGAATATTTGTCGAGAAAAATGTACATTGAAAGGATGACAATACATTAAACCAAGGAAAAAAACCCAACAATTCATCAATAGCATACCGTGCACAAATTTACTTAACAGAACTTAGTCTGAACTAATAGTAACAAGACGTGTACATAATAGGTTCTAAAACATCGATAAGCTTGTAAAACGCATACAGGGTACTGTTAAAAAATGATTCAGATCCTTGGACCGTAAAACCAGGACAAGCCCAAAGCATCTAACCATCATAAATGCAGCAAATTGCGAAAGGGCAGCCTGAAAGAACCAACAGAAAATGATAGATTCAGAGTAAAGCAAGCATCTACATTAGGACCAGAAGCAAAATAACCAGTCGATCCAGTTGCCACTCAAGACCAAGAGCCTCGCAGTTACAGATCGAAGACTCTTACAAGTCGATATAGTTCAATCAAACCCATCGACCCCATTAACAGATATCACCTCATTAAAGGACCCAGATAGCTTCCTCACTCGTTCATAAGAGGAGAGGTAAAAAATGAACAAGAACCTCCCATGTTTAGTGTAAAAGAAGAAGACCCACAACTGGTTTGTCTCAAATAATCAAAAACCCAAATTGGAAAACATGGTTTTATGCAGAGATACGAACCTTGCATTGGCCAAATCCATGGCGTAATCGGGCAAAGAAGAAGGCGACCTCGACATGAGAATGCAGTGGAAGGACAGTAGAGATTAAGAAATGCAGTGAAGTAATAAGGGAAGGGAAGGAAGGTTGCATTGTTCACGGGGTAGAGGGTAAAAATAAAAGCGATGGAAGGGGCAAAAGAAAAACGATGGAAGGGGAAAAAGGAAAGATAGAAATGAGTGAGACGTGGGGGTTTGGGTAACTCCCAACGTACATGACGCGCACGCTCCTTTAATTTAATCTCGAGGATGTATTTGGTAGGGTTGGTACCGGGTCGTGTTGCGTGGCTCTAAAGGCCGTTGCTTTAACCGGGCCGTACAGCGGCCTGCAGTGACTGGTTAAATTCAGCCCGGCTCGGCTCTCACCATGGAGTCGGATCGGGCCGTGCAAAGGCTTGGATAGGGTTGGTTAAATTCAGCCCAACGTGGCTCTACTTTTTTTTTGTTTCTTTTTTTCTTTTTAATTCTCTCTAGCCGTATTTTTTTTAATTCAATTTTACCCTGCCCACACTTGATAGGGTTAGGGTTGGACAGGACCTAGGCCCTCACCGCTCTGCCTTGATAGGCTAGACCGAGCCTGAGCAGGCCATATAGGGAGTAGGGAGTAGGGCCAAGGCTCGGCTCATTGCCAACCCTAGGTATGAGCATGTTATAAGCCTAGTCCCTATCTTAGATGACCTACATTGGATTCACTAGATAATTATTTAACAAAAAAATCTCAATTTTGATAATCGCCTTAGATTCACTTGATGATTATTTTAAAAAAAAAAAATTAATTTTTAATTCCAGTACATAGAAAGCGCAATTTAGAAATATTTTATTGAGGTCCCTATATGGACTGTAGAGATTAACATTGCCAAATTTTAGAGTCCTTCAGGGTTACTCCTAAATTGGGTTTTACCTGTAGGATAAATAAAAAGTATACTCTTATTAAAGTATGAAATATTTTGGCCTTTTATTATTAATATTTTGGCCTTTTACCTATTGCTTTGTGTGGGTTGATCAAAAGAGATGCCGTCCCCTGGGAAAGGAAGAAGAGAAATTGAAGACGAACATACTACTTATCAAAAGAAAGGGAAAGCAATATATTATAATCTGCGTAACCATAAAAATCTTGGGTTAATGGAGTCTGTAACCGTCCCATTAACGAATGGATAGTGATAGAAAAAGTGGGACCTCTCGTTTATTTTCTGGCATTTCATGCATCATTCATTATTCCGTACCTTCCCGAAAGGGTTGGAAATGGTTATAAGAAGGAAAATAAAGGGAAAGCAAAAGAAAGGAATAGATAGCAATATCCGTCTTTATTGTGATGTGTAATTTTACTTTTGAATTGAGAAAGAACGGTATAGCAAAAAATATTTCTTTGAAGATGACAATTAATTTTTTCACGGGTATGTTTCTGTTGTGGTTTCTATAAAGTTACAACCAGGGGTTAAAATATCGATGACTCAATCTAGAATCGAGCGATCCGGATTGAGAATCGGTTGGACCGTTCTAAATCTAACCATTAGACCGGATCTAATCATTAAACGGGATATGGTGTTGTATACAATCAATGCGATGATGTCATAAAGTGGCAATCGAGCCAGTGAGTTTTTGAGAACCCGACCGATTCTCACCTATTCCCATAGTATTTAATTTTTTATTCCTCAAAACCGATTCCTACCTATTCCCACACAGTTTTAAATTTTTTATTCCTTAAAAACAATGTGTCCCACGGGCAACTTTTGAGCTCCCACTATCCAAGACAATACCATATCATACAACACAGTTCTACTGAACTTAACAAGCTGTAGTACCTTCCCATATAATTCTACTAATCTTAGCAAGCCGTTGACATAAAGATGGGTTGCTTTCGGTGTGGTTTCTATAAAGTTACAACCAAGGTTTAAAATATTGGTGACTTGATTTGGAATCGAGCGATCTGGATCTGAAATCGATTGGACCGTTGTAGATCTAACCATTTCTCACCTATTCTCACACAGTTTTAAATTTTTTATTCCTAAAAAAAAATGTGATCCGATGGCAACTTTTGAGGGCCCGCTATCCAAGACAATACCATCCCATACAACATAGTTCTACTGAACTTAGTAGGATGTTGACATAAAGATAGCCAATACCATCGGATACAACATAGTACTATTGAACTTAGCAAGCCGTTGACATAAAGATGGGTTTCTTCTGGTGTGGTTTATATGGGTTGCTTCTGGTGTGGTTTCTATAAAGTTGCAACCAAGGTTTAAAATATCCGTTACTCAATTAGGAATCAAGCGATCCGAATCTGAATTGGCTGCACCTCTTGAGATCTAATCATTAAACGGGATCCAATGTTGTATACAATCAGTGTGATGAGGTCATAAAACAGCAATCGAAGCTGTGAGTTTTTGAGAACCCGATCGATTCCCACCTATTCCCACAGTTTTAATTTTTTATTCCTTAAAACCAATTCCCACACAGTTTTTAAATTTTCAAACCCGACCGATTCCCACATGTTTTAATTTTTTATTCCTTAAAACCTATTCCCACCTATTCCCTCACAATTTTTTAATTTTTATTCCTATTTTTATTCTGATTCCCACCTATTCCCACATTTTTTAATTTTTATTCCTTAAAATTGATTCCCACACAGTTTTTTAATTTTCAAACCCGACCGATTCCCACATGTTTTAATTTTTTATTCCTTAAAACCCATTCCCACCCATTCCCTCACAATATTTTAATTTTTATTCCGATTCGCACCTATTCCCACATTTTTTAATTTTTTATTCCTTAAAATTGATTCCCACACAGTTTTTAAATTTTCAAACCCAACCGATTCCCACAGGTTTTAATTTTTTATTCCTTAAATCCCATTCCTACCTATTCCCCCATAGTTTTTTAATTTTTTATTCCTTAAAAACACCATGTGTCGAAGGGCAACTTTTGAGGGTCCGCTATCCAAGACAATACCATCTCATACAACACAGTTCTTGTTAGTACATGTGTGTGGCCATGAGGCCTTTAAACGTGCAATATTTCTCTCTCTTATAATTTAATGCTTATCACTACAAAGAGAGGCTTCTTAGAAAGAGAAAGTGTCGTTATCTAACGGCTAGAAAGTAAGCACCCACTTCCCAAGATTACAGGGCCACGTTTTCTCAGAGATTTCATGAGGAAGCCGGACCTTGGAGAACGGCCTCCTCTATCCCTCTTTAAGAAGGGTTTTATGTCCATGGAGAGATACACAAAAATTTACAGAGTTCTCATAGTTTTGGTAAAAGCCTGATCTCTTCAATCGATAGTCTCACGACATTGCCCCTAATCTTGGAAGTGGGTCCATCGCTTCCCTCAAGATTTCAACATTGGAATCAGAGTAGGTTGTGGAAGCGTGGTGGGCTCATAACCTACAGATCCCAGGTTCTATTTTTCATTTTTATTGGTGTTTTATCTTGAGTTTAATTTACAGTAATTTTGATATTGTGCTTTGCCATTCACATATATCTTGCTGTAAATTTTTTGTTCTCAAATTTGGCTCTCTACTGCTGCAGCGAGATATATCTTCTTTCTTCTTTTTTTTCATAATCCTCTACTCTTAATTCACTTTCTTGCCTACGTGATTCATATATATCTTGTTGACTCATTGTTCTTGATTCGCATATATCTTATTGATAAGGTTATCGACCCTCATACATAGATAGTTATTGTATGATTCATTGTTCTTGTATGTAGCAAGTCGGTGACTGATAGGCAGGAGATCTCCTCCATATCTGGATATATACTTAG